ATGGCAGTCAGGTTGCAAGGACGTCGCGATCACCCTTGGCCACGCGAGTCCGTCGTGCATATTTGGAAACTCGTGGAAGGTTATTGGAGCTTGGTTGGCTAGTAGTGTCGCGCACACCTATTCAGCCCCCATCTTGCGCCCCCCCAACCACAAATCCAATCGATTTTGAGAAAAAGTTTTTCATCTAACCATTGTACATGAACTGGAACGTATTTTAATCTATTCGCTGGTAAGAACCTTGTGTAGCATGAATACGCTGGATCGTGGAGTTTCCAGCCTCTTTTAGGGCTAAATGTTAAAAAAACAAAATTTTTTGATTCACCACACACGCACATGCTATGCGGCTATTAGAGATAAAAACAACGAAAAAAACTCCCACGAACATGACAGGCCAAGTCCGACAACTAATTCATTGAACCTGGCTTCGCGAATGCGTGCTCTCTCCGTCGAAATTTTAAACTTGTAAAAAGATATCATCCTAGTTTGGGAAGAATGAAAAGTGCATTTAAGTGGCAGAACTAGACAGTTGTTACACGAGGACAATCGACTACTCACTGAGCACGACCGACTCCATGGAACGGCAGATGTCGGCGATGGAGAAGTTAACCTGGAAGTCCTCCCGCTCGTAGAAGAGCATGTAGGCGCTCCAGCAGCGCATGGTGGGTCCAATGGAGGTGTGCAAGGAGTACGGCGACGTGTATTCCCCACCGAACCACTCATTCCGCTCCAAAGACGACGAATCCATGTGAACCGCGGTAACCTACACAACAAGGCGAAAGAGTGCAAATCATCAGATGCGTGGTAACGCACGGGAGACCCCACTGAATCTCTGAACATTCTACCCTTTTACCAACAGGATGATTTGACGTGGCGAAACTAGGCAGAAGTCACAGTTGAGAATGCAAATCGGACTTTAACAATGACCCAAAGGCGGTTCGAGGGACGTGGACGCACATGTGTGTCATCGTATTTGTACCACTGGTAGGTTCCCGTGTCAGGCCTCTTATGCAGGATGTAGGAGTAATAGTGCCCAGCTGATGCCTGGCCGTAGTGCACAACGACACCGCGGAGGGTGTAGCGAGTGGGCTGCTTCGAAGCGGAATTGGGCTGGGCAGGAGGAACAGGGGAGGCGTGGGACGCGGTGTCCTCGGCGGAAGCAGAGGCGCTTGCTAAGGAGCCTGCGTCCTCGACTACGACGTCGCGTGAAGCCAGACCCTCAACGGTGTACGGCGCCATGTCAAGTTCGCGGGGGAAGGAGAAGTAGCTGTTCGACTTGATTGCAGTGTGCCTACAAGAGAAGACAATGCGACAGGCTAGACGAGTGCCAATTCCAGCTGAGGGCAACTTGATGGCAGTCACGGATGCGCACCGTTCCCAGTCGTAGTTGAAGCGTTTGAGGTGGATGGTGAGAATGTGCGGCAGCCGTTTGATGCACATTCGTTTGCGCACAGCAACCTTCTTGTCGCACTGGTCGCAGTGGTAGGCGTTGTCGCCATCAAGCAGGTCGCTTTTCACGTACTCCTCCAGGGATTCGCAGAGGGTTGAGTTGTTGTTGACGTCAACGCTCACCGCCAAAAACGACTCCTCACGTTGGTACCTGGAGGGGAAAAAAACATTGCAATTTATAGCCGTCTGACAGCCGCGCGAATTGGACCACCTCTGGGTGGTACCAGTGACCTTGACTGAAACAACCAATCACGTCATCGTCTAACCTGTGCGGGCAGTCAATGCAGATCTTTTGGTCCTCGAAGGCACCGCCGATGACATTCTCAATGGCCTTTGGCACACCGCAGAGCTTCATCGCTTCATCCACGTTGTCGACGAGGGAACTGAAGAATTCCTGGGCATCGTGCTGCTCCGAACAATTCACTCTCTCGCCCCCAAGTCTACAGGGAAGCAATAAAAGGTAGCGCTTTTTTTCCCAACTAACTTGTCACACTTTTAACACCAAAAAACTGTCATTACTAAGACGATAAAAAAAAAGAATTACACCACTAGTGCCGAGGTTCTGTCACGCCCAATCTGATGACGCTGAACACAAACGGAGATGGTGAAATCGGCTCCACAAAATTGATGGATGACGCCGCTATCCAAATATGCATTTGCATGCGTCAAGACTCCGAATAGCTTCACACAATAAGTAAGCCAACTGCGTCACCAGACAATCTTTAGAATGCAATCGACAACCACAGAGTAGAAGTTGAAGATGCATTCAGGTTATGGAAGCAGAACGCTTTCAAGTGAGAGATTATTCAGGAGTTTTAAAAAACGCCCTTAAGTAACTATAAGCTCGTGTGATGAAGAGGCTTCAAGTGAGAGGACCTAGGCAGGACTCCAACGAGCGATTTAGGGATGTCCCACCAACACAGAGAGTTGAAATGCAATTCCCATGAGTTGCTAAGTTACCAGAAGCAAACGACTCGTTGTTTCGACTCAAAATTACACCCAATTGCAGCACCCAAGTTCTCCGGTACTTCAGTACCAAAGAATCAGCATCAGCAGTAAGTTAGGAGAGCACACGCGCGCGCATGCGCACGCAGTCGTGTGTGAACAGGGGAGCAAGGAATGCGCGCGCACACAAATTCAATTACACAAGGCCCCAGTGTGCTCACTTGAAATGCCTCCAAAATTGTTTAGGCTCGTAGAATTTCCGCTTGGAGTAGGCCAAAAACGCGAACATATCCTGCAGCGAGTGGAGCACACACAGGTGGCTGAGTTGGGACTCGTTGAGGCTACTTTTCTGGAAAAAAAGGTGAAGGCTGTTTATGCGTATTTAAGAACAAACAGGCATTCATCCAGTCAACTCGGTAAGCAAGAATGGTCAAGGTGCAAAAGGAATTTGTAGAAAATTGGTAAAATGATTAGGGAATTGGACGATAGACGCACTGGAGGCCATGTTGAGGAAGAGCTCTGGTGTCCAAAGGTGGACGGCACGGTTAGGGTGCTTGGGTCGATTCCGGCCTTCTCTAGAGCCTCAGTCACGGGAGCGGAAAGCACAGCAAAGCGAACGGGGAGGATGGAGAAGAGCTGTTGCAGCACCGAGTTCATGTAGCAGGTTGCACCGGCGTTCTTCAAACCCACAAATCCCGCCCCGCCGAGGTCGCCACCACTGCCACTGGAGTTCAGGAGATCGGAGTGTCGTTGACGACTGTCCACTGAGGAACGGAAATTCGAGGAGGCGATATCCGAGGCTTCCCAATCTGTGAGCGGACGGCGAAGTTCGGCTAGAGAATGGATCAAAACAAATTGGTGTCATGACAGCCGTTCTTTTTGGGAAGACATTGCACAGTTCACGATTACACCATAGGCATGCCAATGCAATTTGACAGACAGGTGATTGCGCTTTCGAGTGGAAAAAAAGGTGGGAGAAGTTAACTCACGGCAGAAGAGGAGGGAAGAGAGGTGGTCCGCAAGGAAAGGGAGGTACACCCGGGGAGCACAGTAGACCAGCTCGAGGAGGAGGTTGAAGGCCGCTGCGAGGACGTTGTCGGGGCAGGTTGCCAGAACCCTGCCGACGGCCAGCAGGGCGTTCGCCGACACCGTCTGGGTTTTATCGACCGCTGTCGACGCGGCTGCTTTGCGCAGTTCAGCAAAACGCTTCGAGGCTGGGAACATGACCACCTCCAGGAGAGCCTGGAGATCAAGAATTCAGGAAGTTAGCAAAGACAGGATGTAAATGCGATTGGTGGTGTGGAAGCCAACTGCACATCCAGCTGAAAATCCCATGTCAGTAATTTCGAGAAAGTGAGCAGTTATTGACGACACACGACATGGTGCTTGTGGTAATCAGATCAAGATCAGGTTACACGGCAAACGCACAATCACGATCGTGATCAACAGTCGAGATAGTAATTCGAACAAGCGGTTACAGGGTTAATGACATTGGGCAATGGGGAGTGTCGTGTGGCACCCTCACTAACCCTGGGAGATTGTGAGAGAACCACGATTTGAGGCCGATATTTGTGCATGATCGTCTGGTGGCTTACACACGAACACGAAAAAAGAGCCTCATTTCAAGGAATTGACATTTATGCCGGCAAAGGCATGCACGCTGGTCATACTGCCAGGGATAGAATGAGGACTGTAGCTGGGAACAGGACTTCAGGCGAGGTGAGAGGGGCTTGCTTTGGGATTGGCCAGTCCGTTGACACATGACCAAACTTTACAAATCGCGACAACACAATTGCGAGACGGTACAAACCGAGGGATCGGGAAGCACGGTAGTCTGCAACACACACACACACACACACACACACTCATGACCCGGAACGAAAAACGGATCTGATCGGTCTAACTCTCCGTTTTTAACTAGCGTAGAGCAGACAACTCCGCGTCACACAATTTTAGGCAGACTGAAGCCTCGGATTCCACCAATCACCGTTTTCCTGGGTGTGATAGCACTCGAAATACACTCAGATCCCCTCCAAACAACCCCTCCCAGGGCCACCGGGCTAGGCACGACCACCCAGTTTAGGCCGCCCAAAATGCGCGCGTGCGGTCGTGTGCGCCGGGTGGAAGGACGCCCGCCGATTGGTCCAATTGGACGAAACAGATATTCCTCCCAATACCGTTTCCTGATGGGAGCGTGAACGCCTGGCACGTGACCTAGTGAAGGTTAGTCTAGTTCAACGGGCAGTACTTGGTCAAACTCACCTCGATCGATTGGGAGGTTGTTTTGGGGGGGAGGTGGAAGAAGAGAGCTTACCTTTATGGGGGCGAGGCCGATGGGTTCGACAGCGGACTCGCTAAACACTGCCTCATTCTGGAATGGTAGGAGAGCAGTACATAGACGAAGGTGCGAACACACGAGACTGGGGATCGCGAGGTGGGCGGGAGTGGAAACACCGTCTGATTCGGGTGCACCCTCGCCCGGAGTGGAGATCTTCAAATACAGGCAAGTGGATAAGGGGAGGCGGGGTTAGGTGTAATGTGGGCACAAATGTTACACCAAATACCTTATTTGACAGCCAAGTCCATTCTTTTCTGAAAAGGGCTTCGGCACTGCCGAGGGGTAGTAACTCTGAGTGCGAGAATTTGAGGAGTTGAATGAGCACGTCCGTACAATCTGTCGTGTGGGCGTTACGATCGGATTCATTTACCTGGAGGCAAAAAAAGAAGCCAAGCGGATGCGCACGAAGTAAAGGAACGCCTACTCAAATCTAGGTAGTACCGAGGTAGACGTACCTCCAGGGCCTCGACTAGTGAGTGAATGACGCATTCGATGGCATCCACATTCCATATCGACAAGGACACATCTAGAGGTTCCGCGATGAGAGAACTAGCCACCGCCAAGCCCCGAGTGACCACGGTAGTGACACGCGATCGGGCGACCTGCCGTAAAATCTTCGAAGGAGATAGAATGAGGAGATCGTGGAGAAAACTGAGCCACGGCGGGAGGACTTCGTGATCCGACGAGGAGACGACCTGATTCGGGGCGAGGAGGCTCCGTAGCGGGGCGTCAGGGGCCAAAGTGAGAAGGAGACAAAGGGTCTCCAACGCGTCAAGGGACAAGCAGCCCGGGGTTCGGCCGGACTGGAGGGCCAAGATGGAAGGTGCGTGGGGTGGGAGCGCGTGGCAGGGGACGCCTTTTGGTAGAAGCAGGCGTAGGCAACCCGGTGAATGCAGGGATGGATGGACTCGTCCACTCTGGAGGAAGGCTTGCAATGCAGCCGACTGGAGGCCGCAAGTGGTGGAGAAGGTGCACGTGACGCTGGGTGGTGCAGACTGGCAGGAAGTATCGGCTAAACCAATTTTTTTCGAAAAAACAAGCTTAATTTAGTGGATTTTTCCAGTGATCAACATCAGGAATAAACTTGGGATGGCCTTATAAAAGCAAGAATTGTGGTTGAAGGGTCCTGGAAGACTGTATAGGTGTGGTACAACCTAAGGGAGTTCAATACGGAGGGTGGACGCCGTCTGGACGGTTTGTATGGATGGACTGCCTGATAAGACTGGCGTGGAACATCGTCTGGATACAGACCACAACCTTTGACAAGACTTCCATGCTGCAACACCGCTGACCTTTGAGACTGCACAGCATAACATTTATGGACGATGAGCTGATGACCTTCAACAACTGACCTTCAAAGATTACATGGCAAAATACTGATCAACGTGTTCACTTGTCAAACGAAGATAACTAGACATCTACTTAGGATTGGTTTTTTTGAGAAATTGAGCTGATTCCACATGGAAAATTGGCATTTGCTCAGATGAGGGATCGCAATTAATCGATATTAGCAAAGCCGATTTGAAAAGGGAGCAAAACCACAAGGGAAGAATGCTGGGCCGTGTCGCCAGGCAAACTGACCGAGAGGCGAGGCGCAGCCGCTGTCGTGGGAGTGCAGGGTGGCGGGCCTGCGTTGGACGCACATTGCACTCGCTGCAGCCTCCTGCGCGGCCTCGACCACGGCCGCATGCATCTCATGCGGTTGGATTGAGGCTGCGGTCGCAGGGGTGCCAGAGGCGTGTCCGAGGGACGCGGAACTGGCCAACCAGCAGACATTGCGTAGGCGCTCGGCCGACATCGGCGGAATTTGCAACCACACGGACAAGATCTCCTCCTTCGTTACCTGTAGGGAACGCAACACGTACGGGATCATCCTGAGACCTTTCATTCGCATAGTTTTCATGGCTAAACCACTTCTACATTCATCAGTGGTCATCTTAACCGACTTAAAAATTTGTTGCTCAACTTATGGGAAGGAGCCCCCCCCCCCATTCGAATCAAATCACCAGATAATAGGAAAGCGGAAACATTTTCCAAACTCCCCTAGTCACGCCACTCCTCCTCCACCCCCCAACTGACAGCTCCTGGGTTATTGTCTCTTAATCCATTGAGTCAAGGTCAGGCTGACGTGTCATCGACACGCGCCAACTAACTTGTTAAAAAGCCCGAAACGCACTTCAATCCAGACGAAGTCGTCCACTTTAACTAGGGGAACAGATAAACCAAAAAAACGAAGGGTTAGAGGACTACAGAAGGACGTAGAGCATCCAGGTCGATATTTTTAACAGAACCACGCATTTAATGAACAAATAGCGCATTTTACGAGTAAACAACAGCAACAACTTACCGAAGCCAGACACGCATATTCAGCGAATGCTCCAGCTCGCCGATGAACAAGATATTCTTCAGCAGCCAATGGCGATGTGTGTTCCATCTGCCAGAAGGCGGCCAGCCTCTGAGAGCAAAGGCTGTTATCATTGCAGACAGCGACGAGACTAGCCAGAGTGCAGTTGAGGCACAACGAGGCAATACGACAGATCCAGAGTACGATAAGATGGTACAGCGGGTCGTCCAGGGGAAAATCGAACACTGGCGCCGACAGGAGAACCGACAGACCACCGTTGCGCAGAAAGGCGAGCTGAAACAATGAAGGGAAAGAAGGCGGTACACCGGATGGTACGTTACCACCAGACACGCGCTTGAAGCTACCCTGAACCATCAAAACAGTCACGACAATTGACAGGTGTTTTGTCTTATGATTCGGACACTGGAAACTGCGTGCTTACCATAGGACAGAAGGCTTCGGCGCTGACGTCCACCAAGAATTCGAGGTCTGGTTTATCGGAGAAATAGGGCTCCATGCTTGGATGAAGAATGGAATAGAGGACCTTGGAGACGAAGGAAACGGAAAGCCTCGGATGAGTACGCTACGACCAACCAATTACTCGGCTAGATGCACAATATAACTACCTGGAGGAAATACAGCTGCTGCGTGAAACTGGCCAATTCGAAACCATTTGGAGCTTGGTTTGGTGTGGATGACATTATCAGTTCTGACGGGGAGCATTTGAAGAGACCCGAGAACTGGCCAAAGCCCTCCTTGGTTTCCAGTGCGTTGCGGAGAAGTTTTTGGTGATGCAAACTTACTGGTATGGAGAAGAGGACATCCAAGGCCATGTCACGAAGCTGTTGGATGCCCAGAAAGACAGCCAAGTCGCTGATGTCGAAAAGAAGTCGCACGAAGCTAAGATCCCCCGAAATCATGTAACCTGAGGTGGAAGAAGCAAAACATTAGAATAAGCCAAGTCAAGAATGTGCTGGAGGCTCTATTACCTGGAAGATTACACTCAGTTGGCTCGACAAGGGCCGCGGGGGAGACCACAGTGGCACAGTCTCCGCCAGCTGTTGAACTGGGGTTTGTACCAACAGCTGTGACGGGGAATTTGTTCGCGCTGGCAGAGCGGACGGGAAAACCGTTGCCAGCCGCGGGTCCTCGTGACACCGCGGCACTTCGACAGCGATGACGCTTACTGTTGCGTTGGGCTTCCGCGGGGGGCGGCGACGAAGGGCCAATCACACCATCAGGGCTGTGCGCGGAGCCAGCGGAGGACGAGTGAGGGGAGTAAAATCCCGGAAAACTGGAGTTCTCATCTGGCACAGTATTTTGCGGATTTGATTGGTCGTCGTCGTCGTAGGAACAAGAGTGCGACGAGAGGCTGCCCCGAGGGGGCGGTGGGCCGGGATTCGAAGAGGACACAGAAGAGTTTTCAACCGAAGACGATAGGGGGAAGTGAATTTTGTGTTGCTGCAGCCTGTCGACATTAGACCGCGCGCAAAAGCCGCCGGAGAGGGACGCGTCGGGCGGATTCGCGTCTCGCAGGTACAAACGAGCCGTGAGGGTTATTCTGTCAAGATAGAAAGGGCAACGCGGAATGAGACCAAATACGATCCCACAGGAATCGATAGGAGAGGTGCAGGTAAGTGCGGAGGAGACTTACGCAGGCTTAAATTTACCCACAGCCCCTCCAGACGTGCTAAAAGACGAGTCCGACTCATCGCCGTCAAGGTAACTGCTCCCAGTCAACTCCTCACCCGACGGATCCGAGGATGCCAGAATAAGGTAGGTGGAAAGACAAAGATTGCCAGGTAAGCCGGTCATTTCAAGCAACTCCAGCCCGAATTGATTCAAGGCGGCCAAGCTCGCGGTAGGAGCTTCATCGCCTCCGGCACTTGAAGTCGGATGAACCGATGAATCGAGGAGTTGACTTAGGTGGATATCAAGCAGACGGGAACGGAGGTGACCCAGTGTCTCGTTGGCGTGAGTAACAATAGTGAGGGTAGTGGGCGCGTAACGACGCCCGTCTGAAACGCCTAGGCTTTGTAACAGCTTGTCCACCGGAGAGGCTTTGACAACAGTACCAAAGGTGACATGTAGAGTGAGTGAGGAACCGCACCACGACCTACAAAGTAGAGGTTAACGTCACCGCTGGACGATGTGGTCGAACGGACTTCTGTGTGAGGTTTTAGAAGCGGACAACTATACGCTGACAGACACACAACGTCCTCAACTAGACACTGTTTGGTGAAGGAATGACAAAGCCAACTTACTGGAACAGAGGCAGATGGTTTTGCGGAACCTGGAATTGGAGATCACACTCGACGAGGAACCGCCGAAGGACCTGGAGGACGCGATCGAGGTTCCTCAGGTCCTGTTCTGTGTCTGCTAAACACGTGGGGACGATTTTTGGGTGCGCACAGCTGGAGAGGTGACATACACTCCCATCGGCCGAGGTCTCGCCGTGTGTCAGAAGCACTTTATGAACCTGCAATGATGGCATTTAGCAGAGAAATGCAGCAATCGTATGCAGAGCGCAAGGCACATGGGATCTCACACCTCCGAAATTCAATTTTGCTGGTTTCGCATTGCACATCAGACATTACATCGTATCACTGTTGTAGTCACGCACACGGACACAGAAATCTATTAGAGACTGGATTAATACTTTGATGGTAAGGTGGGTGTATGTGTGGGCGTCCTATAAGGGTCTGCGGGTGGGTAGGCGTGGAATAATAGACGTAAATTGATGCATTTGCATAAAGGCTTACATGTTGGTAGCTTGTGGAGAGGAAATTGAAGCACTTTTTGATAAAGGCAAGATGCAGATTCCGCTGGCCATTGAGCAGGCTGTTGTCGAGGTTAGTGTATAGCTCCTGAAGCATCTCGATGCCAATTCTGGCAACGCGTTCGTCAGCAGCCAGGACCAGACGCCAGAGGTAGTCCACGCCGACCAGATCTGGGTCCCGCAAGACGATGTGCTGCCTCGGCAATCGCACTTCGTCGATCTTTCCAAGTTCACAATTGACGTAGTTGAAGAAACACCGGAACAGTCTAAATGTCCAAAGCACAACTGTCGTTTAAGTTGAGGCGATCAACACACCGAAAACTGCAGCAAACACCGCCAAGTTGCACGCAGGTTCAGAGGGAGAGAAATATGATTTGTTTCAGGTAAGAATAGAAAAGACAATAGGGACACAGAAGAAAGGAATGAATAAGAATGCCTTTGAGTTACAGGAGTCAAACCAATCGGCAAGAGGCAAATACCACACTCAACACGACCCCCTTGTTATGCCATGAATCTGCTTGGGCTTGGCTGTGAAACAATTCACGTAGAAACTTATCCACAGAATGTCAAAAATCCCTCCCCACAAATTCTCCAGGCACCAACTTTGGACCCGTTAAGAGTGAAAAAAGCCACGGATCTTACTTCATCCCAGTAGGCGTAAGAGCCTCGGGCTCAATTTTCAGGATGTTCTTCTTGAAGAATTCTGCAGCATGCTGTTGAACCAATTCATTGAGCGTCGGATCGAACCACGTAAAGCAAACATTTCGACTATCCGGTGCAGTCGACGACGTGGAATCGCCGGTGTCCGAGGCGTCAGAGGAGGAGATCGCGGTGTCCCGATCGTCCTCAGCGTCGACAATGAGGCATTGCCAGAGCTGGTCCAGTTGTTCCAAGGTCAGGGGGACGCCGGCTTCCGTGGCGAGGAACCGAAGGAGAGTCAGTCGGTCTTCAATCTGAACGGAGTGCGGAATCGGAGGAAAGTGCCGACTACTGACGGGTTTGCCCGACTGCGAGACAATGCCGTCGTCACTGGTCCTTGTCTGCTCAAGGGTGTGATTCGACGCAGACGAAGTCGTCGAATTCATGTCACCACGGCTGAGAGTTGACGTCGCCGAGGGCGGCTGCGAGGATGTTGAATCAATACCCAGGTCTTGAGTCACCTTGGAGTCTAAGCAGGGAAATTCACAAGCCCACGTGATAGGTCAATCACTCTTGTACTTACAAACTAAGGCTCTTGTGTGCGCGTGTGTGTGTGCCTCTAATCTCGTGCAATTTTGCGATTATCGAATGGATGACGAGCATAGTTCGCAAATTTTGAGGAGTTCCATCATATGATGCTGTAAATTCCCCTTAAAACCCTAATTTCTCTACCCCAACTCAGGCCCTAATTAAATCTGAACGCTTGAAAATGCTTACCTTTGGGAGAGAATTTGGCCATGTAGTTGATAAGACTGGTGATACAAACAGGGACGAGGTCTTCGTTAACGGCCAGTTGGTAGATGGGGCTCGATTCATATGCATACCAACACTGGAAGGGGAAAAACACATTAGGGCAAATTCGAGGGCGTTTTACGAGGCTTCGAGGCCAAGGGAAACTCACAGGCTTGAATTTGGAGCATATGCTGATTATTTGGCGGGCGGCACAAACCACAGCGTAGTCGTTGGAGTCGTCTTTGAGGACTTTCGACAACTTGTGCAGCCAGAGTAGTGCTTGGTCGTCCTAGAAGAATAAAGTACGTCCAGGAAAGAACACGCATTGAGGTGTTTAAGCGATAAGCGGAAGTCCAAAGTAATCTTTCGATTCTGTCACCGCGTGCTCAGCAAAAGCGGGAAATACGAAAATGATGTAAAGAAGGTGAAAAGTACGCGCCTACCGAGTGAGTGCACGTAAAACTGTTCGACAGGATGTCTTTGTGTGCGTTTAACGCAGGCACAGCGATTTCGGCGAAGAAACTAGGCCTGATTGCAAGGTCCCAGAGAAAGTCCAGAGCCTTCAACGCCAACTCCGGATGGCCGTCCACCGTCAGACGACGGATAAGATCGATGAGACGCTCCCTCTGTCGCTTACTTGTGGTCTTGAAGGCTCTCTGATAAAGTGAAAATGTAGAGATAGAACCTGGGTGGTTGGCAAGTGACAAAGAAACCTCACAAAACAATCTGGCGACGGCCGACGCTGTCGGATTTGCTGAAGAGAATTCATTGGCGGTGAAGATGCTAACGTAAAACTACGGTCCTGTTGCTTCACTCACGCAATCTCGAACCACTTGGAAAGGTAAAAAACCAACTAGAGCCTAGGAGACAACCGAACAAAATGCATTTGAGTAGATTGTTTACTGCATCAAGCCAATGGGATTCTCCTGTCAAGGCCATCACCGCTATACACGTGCATTTAGAAGCGTCAGAAGGAGTAGAGATTGTCAGGTTCAATTGGGGAAGTGGGGGCTGGCGAGGTGGGTCAGCCTGCCCCCGCATCCACAAAAACACTTTCGATTAAGAAGGATCGATTTTACTTGGCACATGGCCTAGCCGGACACAAACACTCAAAAATGATTGGTTTTGGCATGCGCGTGGACAATACAGTCCAGAATGCTAATGCTAGAACGCAAATACAAGCTCCTAGTAGAGCGGGCGCTTGCCTTGAAGCAGTCGAAGAGCCGATCGAGTTGTTCAGGCGTGAAAGAGCGCACCAGAGTGGCGAGCATGTCCTCGACATTCTTCACGATGGCCTCGTGCTTGCCGACCTGCGCCTCCCATATCTCATCCAGATCCTCTAGACTCAGTTCGCCGGTTTCAATGAGAAACTGGACGACCCAGGTAACCCTCTCCACGTACTGCGGCTGGTGTAGGTTTTCACGCAGCAGCAATGACAACACCTGGACAGGACAACGATTCAAAAAAATTTACTCCCCAAACAGCAGGACATGTAGAAAGGCAATTAGCGTTCGGGTAGATCAGTATTTACAAAATCGAAGCAAGTAAAACCTGTTTTTAAAGCACAAAATCAGGACACTGTGGTATTTTGCCCGGAGGATGGAAACTTGAATGGAAGAGTGAAGACGGAACAATGCTGAAAGCTAATGATACTTGCACACGAAGAGACTCGTCTTAGTTCCAACGACCATACGTTCTAATTGACTTCTCGCGGAAGTAATGACCGGTTGTTAAAGCCAATCACGACGCGCCAAACTAAATGGGCTCTAACTAGACCCAAACTCACTAACACCATTCGACCGCATCTACCAGCGCACCATGGTAACAGTGAGAATACGTGACTGATTAGCTGATCAAGTTCTGACACGCCCGATGTTAAGACTTCACAAACAAAATATTTACCAAGTAGAAGAACCACAGAAAGCACGAGTGAACACGAACGATATGAGGCATGCTCAGTTTCGTTTGAGTACTAGCAAATCAGGCACGCAGTGTGTGTACGACGATGCGCCAAAATAGGGCCTCTATTGTGGTGGATGCCATTATGTGTAAAAATGTGACGGATCGAGTACCACTACCGATTAAGCGTGAGGTCACGTGCGTGTCTGCCAATAAGCCAGTCTTAAATTGATGGTGTAACCCAAGTCCCGCTAGCCAATGACGTTGCAGGAGAGTGATGAATTCAGTCAGTTCGCTTAGACAACACATAACAACACGCATTGCTACGCATCGTACCCGACGCACAGCGATTTCAACAATCTACTATCACAGATTAAAATAAAAGACCACAAGTTTCTGCTCACAGAAACTCAGAACTGAACGATTGCAAAGTGAGATAAGTTACTAGGATGACTGTCACTGGCGTTGATCATAAATTTGTAGCATCCTAACAAGTTTAAGCAGATTAATAAGGCTAGACCCAAGATTGGCTGCGAGATTAGTCATGTCACCGATGAAGTACACGAAAATGCAGTAACACATACATGATTATCCTTCAGCCATTGAACGAGACGCTCCTTCGTGATGGTTTCCCGTTGGAGATAAGTTGGACTCAAAGAGGCACGGGAATACCTTGCTCGAAGGCGTTCGATAATCGTTATCAGGTTCTTGAGCACATTCATCTTTCCTCCGAAGAGGTCCATCTAACGGAAGCATGAGAAAGACAATGAGATCGACAAAGAAGAACAACCTCCCGACTGGCAAACGAAAAAAAAAACAATTTTTGAATATTCGACAAGCCATTGTACACGAAGCAGGAGTTATAAAACTAGCAGACAGAAGGTCCTCGAAGGAAATAACGACTTGGTACTGTTTTTTTTATAGTTTCACACCTTCTGAGCCAATGCAGCTAATTACAACTGCTTCTGTTTCAAATCCGAATATGCGATCGAGGGGATTGCACATGCTGGTGACATAGCCTGTGCCACAAAAACACAGAGTCACGATTGCGCTCGCTGTCTTGTGATGCGTAAAAGGTCTCACGGCAGTCACTTGCGTGGCTGACATTTCGTCAAACTCACAACACACGCCTCAAAAGCCGCATTACTTTGACGAAGACGATACCAGCCACGTTTCCAGTCGGCATTAAAGCAAACCACATTCTCCAGACACACACTACACACGTAAAAGAACGCGAAAGAAGGCGAACCAAACATTAACGGTGGCGCAGGGCATTCGGCTGAAACCGACGACTGTACCAGCAGGTAGCCCCATCTCGGAAGACAAGTCTTACAAATGTGTTTAGTATTAACAAAAAAAAATGATAACTTGTAATCAAGATTGTTTACAGTTGGCTTGTACCAGCTCAGATTACAGATTGACGGTTTCGTGAAAAGAGGGTAGCCAAACAGCCATTTAGAGAACACGTCATCATCCGCCCACGAATCAACGCCTGTTCTATCTGACGGTGCCAAACCGCGGCTTCGAAACGCGACACAACATAAGACATTAATCGGATTGACTAACTAATGCAGGGAGGTGTGGTGTACAACCCCCCCCCCCCCCCCCCCCCCCCCCCCCCCCCCCCCCCC